CTCCCAAAAAAAGAAATCACACAGACGGTCAGATTATGCCTGTAAAATACTGTATGTATTCCTATCTTTCTTGTTCAAATGCACAACATTAACCTGGTCACACCGAGAACTATAACTATTAGCATCCACACCAATGGACGATAACTGCTTTTTATCAGCGCGTTGCAGTAATGTCATCTACTGATTTAAATGCTTGAGCTCTTTAAAGCCGGGTGGATTCTGATTGGCTGTGAATGTATCATTCATCATTTAATCATTCATCAGCTGACATTCTGAAAGTAATTCCAACAATATTGTTCCTCTGTCGTTATAGTTGTGGTGTGGACTTCCCTATTCTCATGGAATGATAACCGTAATTAATTAAAACTTTATAGTTATCGTTAAAGTTATTGTCCATGGTGTGAATGGGCTTTAAGACCCGTATACACAGAGTAACCCCAAAACTATAGACTACATAACATGCACATTTTAATATATTTTGCTATGTATTTTAATGTGCACTACATTGTTTTGGTCTGTGTGATCATGGAAGTGTGTGTGAGGGTTACAGTCCACTCTTTGAGTCCAGGTTGGGCCGTTTTCCTGTGGGTTATTTTCAGTGGCCAGAGCAGGAAATGTCTTTAGAGAAGAGAGCTGAGCCACTGGAAAATAACCTTTCCCTCTCTCTGTTTCTCCCACACTCTTTCTCTCACACAGGAACATTCTCAGCATTTTCAACTGAGATCTTCTGGCTCACAGTCATGCTTTGTCATTACAACATTTCCAACACAGTAGCAAAAATCATGTCACATCAGTAAAATGTGAATCATCATACACTGATCTCATTATAAAACATCAGCGCCCACGGCTAATTTTTCTCAGCAGTAAGCGTTTTGTTTTAGTTTTGTAGAGAAAGTCTTGCGTAAGCACAGTTTATTTTTGTCTACAAAATTAATTTCAAGCATTTATGCATAAGTTCAAAAAGATCATAAGAAACTAATTCAGCAACATAAATTCCAAACGTTTGACTTAAAGTGTGACTTTGTAAACACATTCTTGACCTCCATCACACATTGACTTCTCAGTGATGAGGTCTCGGTGCCGGTGAAAACTTACAGCATTTTGCTGAATTCGCAGTTGGTTCCAGATGCACAGGACGTTGAATCAAGTTTGTGGTCGTGTGTTTGGAGTTGTCAGCAAGTTGTTACCAACAAAGATTTTACAGTCATGTGGGTTACAGACCTTGATCCCAGTAATAATACATTATCATCTTTGATCTCTCAGTAACACAATGCAGAATACACTGCATTTAACACTGTGTCCCTCCATGCAACAATGCAAATCTTCATGTGAGTGAACTACAAAAATCTATGAAATCTTATGTTAAGATTTTAACATAAATCCATTCAAACTGTTTATATTTATAAACATATACTATATAAATGACTCAAATGTATTTTTCTATACTGTTTTAGATACAAGTTAAAAAAAATATTATGTAGCATACAGTGTGTACTGCACAGTGTGCACTAGGCAGCATGCTAGTATTGCATTCTAAAACCCACTTTCTCTTTAACTTTGGGATTTGAATTGATTTGGTCAGTAGGCTCTATTGGTTAATGAGAGTCATGCTGAAGCACTTGGAGTCAAACATGTGCTTCTGTGTACCTACTGAACCATATTTTGGGGACAAATTTGTACCTAGAAGTGAGCTAAACCTGACAAAATCTCCCAAAACCTATTTTTGGAATGCTTTTTTCCAAAAATCTGTAGTCTTTGATTGCTAGTTTAACATGTTTGCCAACAGCTAATTAATGGCCATTGCGATTACATTTGACATCTGATTAAATTCTTTGAGTGTCAGACGTTTTGAGGCACAGTCTTGCAGTGTGGCTTCTCCTACGATGACCGTCAAATCGAGCACAGAACCTGATGGCGCAATTAGTGTGACAACATCACATCACCACTTGCTTGTATTTTTCTTTTCAAGGTAAACCATGACCAAAATTAACATTAGAGATCGTTTTTGTTTGCTAGCCACCATTTCGGTTTTCAATGTGAATGCGGCTGACCGCCACTGAACGTGTCACAGATTGACACTGTATGTCCATTTTTAACGAGTCTTGACTGACGTACAGTCTCACATCAATGACAACTGAGATCCCACGGTGTGACATGGCTTATAGCTGGGATCACGTTTGTGTGTCTTTGCAGAGAGAGTTTATATAAGCTGTAAACAAGAGCAGCTCTGTCCTGCTGCAGGAGAAAGAATGAGAGCGAGGGGAACCAGAAAGAGTGCAGAAAGTGTGTGAATGCATGAGTATGCCTGAGAGTTTAGTTGTGCTATCTGGTGCTGGATGCAAAAGGAAACCGTTCACCCAAAAATGAAAATTGCTTTTCTCACCCCAAATGTCACTCCAAACATGTATGACTTTTTTTCTTATGTGGAGCAAAAAAGCAGATATTTAGGAGATTGTTCACGCTGCTCTTTTCCATACAATGAAAGCAAAATAAATAAATCAAAATAACAATACATATAGGGTAAAGTTTACAATTTTGATTATTTTAATTTATTTAATCTACTATTTTTGCATCATTTTAATGTATTGTTATTACACATTACGCATATCAGTAAAAAAAACATACGTGTACGTTGGACTGAACGTGTGCGCTTCCTGTTTGACAACAGATGTTCTGTGAGTATTGATCTGTCAGAGGATGGATTGAGCTCTAATGAGGAAGATGGGAACAGTTCCGACTCCAGCAAGGAAGACATGAGCCATTCAAAAGACAAAGAGGTACTACACCTTTACACAGATGCACAGAACTACATCACAGCAAAACGGTTGGTAATTCTTGGCATGCCATTAAAGGAATGTTCCAGGTTCAGTACAAGTTAAGCTCTATCGACCACATCTGTGATTGTTTCTTCCGTTACCACAGGAAATAATTTCAACTCCTCTCTTAGTGTAAACACAAACAAAAAGTGTGTCCACCAACAATGAAAGTTTATGAGGCAGGACATTGAACTGGGATATACATGGAAATACACAGTGTTTTGAAATGATAGCTACAGAACTTAAATATGTTAAACATGTTTAGATTTAGCAGCAGATTATTGTGACAAAATTGCTTACCGACCTCAGCAAAGTTGAATAACTTATTTTTAAGTTCACTTAATTTCTTAGCATGGTTTAACAAAAATTTACGGTAATTGATGGCATGACACATACCGTTGATAGAGCTTTACTATCCTTTTTAATTGAAGTAAAACAAAACAACTTCCATCTTCAAAATGGAAGGTTTAGTTCACCTAAAAATGATTAAACTGATTTCGTTCCCAGTTCCATTCATTCCAGAGACTTTGGCCCCGTTTACAATAGTGCCTTTTCATTTTAAAACGGCGCTTTATAATGAAAACAATCCTCGTCTACACTTGCGTTTTCACTGCGTTTCAGAAATGACGTTCGTCCACACTACACAACCAAAAATGCATGTCACATGACCATTCATGCAGGTACAACAATGAAGCATGACGTTATTGTTTACACGGTCGTCAAGGATACACGCCATCGTTTTCAAAAGTCTCCGTTTTGTTCCGTTTACACTGCAACGCAACCTGAGTTTTCTAAAACTTGGTCTGCAGCATTTTCGAAAGTCTCCGTTTTCGAGGGGTCGAAAATGTCGGAGTAGTGTAAACGACAGGCGTAACCATAGCAAAAGTTATGTGTTTTAAAACATAAATGCACGAGTGTAAACGAAGCCTTTATTTCATCTTTGAAAGCGGTCTAATCCAACAAATACAAATAAAGGTGACTTGACTTGACTTAATCCAAGTCTTCTGAAGAAATACTATAGTTTTATATGATAAACATTTAATGTAGGCTTTTATTCACATTGATTAACACACATTCATCGAGCACGTCACGCGAACATGTTTGAGGTTCAGTAGAAGCCAATGAGGTTTGTTCTCCTTCATCAAGCAAGTACGGTTGAGCTTCCATTTACATTATTTGATGTGTTGACGTATGTGCATTGATCAACGTTTGTATGTGGATAAAACAAAATAAATGAAATCTGTTCATCATATAAAGCAATTGTGTGTCGTCAGAAGATTAAACTGCTCCATTCATATGGACTACTTTTACAATTTCTTTATGAACTTTCTGAATCGTGAAAGTTGGTGGAATGGACTTTCAGTTTTTGGTGAACTATCCCTTTAAATGCATTGAGAATGTTGTCATTCGTCTCAAATTTAAGAGAAGAACCTAAGAAATAAGAACTCTAATCACTTGTGGATAAATCAGATTTGGGAAGGCGTGTCCAGCAGACTTTCTGTCTCAAGATAATCCAGAGAGACCCCGATCTGAGAGACAGGGGGTGCTTTCAGTCAAACTTTGTCCTTGACTTTAGACAGACCGCGATCCAAATAAAGACTGCAACCTCTCACCAGCCCATAACAACACACACACACACAAGCTCACATGGAGCAGTGACTTTGTTTTGCTATGAGGCTGTATGTTGTTGGTAATCATGGTTGGATGTAGCAACTGTGTAAGTTAACGGCACATCAAATTATATTATAGATTCTAAAATGGTCTAATATTTTAACATGTTTGTCTTCAGGAGGTAGAGAGGGCAAAGAGGAACAAGGTGGTCCACATCGCAATGGAGATCAAGAGCTCAGAGAAAGTGTATGTACTAAAAAAAAGTCTCATTAATCCATATTCATATTTAATAGTTCATTTGAACACATTTAGGGGGAAATATTTGGCTGAGTTTGCATTTTGATTGTGTGTTTGCAGATTTGTGGATGTTCTGAAGTTACTTCACATCGTAAGTCATCACTGTTTTCACTGGATCCAGATTTGAGATAAGAATTATGATTATAGTGGAAGTGTGGGTTCAGTCATCTGTTCGCGTTTTATTATTTTCATATGAATGTGTTCTGGAATAGTGTTTGATTTTTACGCTCACAGTAGGATCATAGAGGTAAACAGACACATCTCTCTCTCTTTATTTTGGGGTTTTAATGAGTAGCTATATGCTCTGTGCAAGCGTATTATCAGGACTAAGGATGTGCAAGACTACATATTCCAAACCGACCAATGGCGTTGACATGTTCTGGGTTCAATCAAATTTCAGCTGTCAACAGCATTTGGTGGATAATGTTGATTGCCTCAGAAAATCATTTTGATTCATCCCTTATATTTCTGAAAAAAAAGCAAAAAATGGGCAGATATAATGGACGTCTATGGAGCAAGGTATTTTACAAGGGTTAACAGAAGTAACTGTAAATACATTTGTCAGTGGTCAGAAATTGTTTTATTTATTCATTTAATTAATATTTTATTTCAGCTTTATTTCAATTAACATTTATTTTGAATTTTATTTTTAGTTACAATAACAACACTGCCAAGCAGTTCCCACTCTTAATTTATCTTGTTTAAAGTACAATTGCTAAGAAAAAAAGTCTAGATACATTCCCTAGTTTGCTTCACTGGCCAGCTAGTGAGACAGCTAGTGGTGTATCCTGACCCATCCCTATTCAGAGAGAAGTAGAAAGTTAGAAAGTCAGAAAAAGAGTCTACAGAGGAAAGACGAGAAGAAGAACTTGTCCAAAGAGACTGTGGTAGAGGAATAAGAGATCAACAGACAGAGAGTGTTTCGGAAAGAAATTACACCCACCCTCACTTTAACCCACTTGTTTGGCCATGACCCCAAACAGCTGTCCTAAAGACACGTGTGTGTGTTTGTGTTTGTGAGGGAAAATGTTCTCTCTACTTCCTGTTAAAGCTGTTGATAGACTGTGCTGCCAGTTTATGCGCTTGAGTTTGTTTGTTTTTACCCTGATTGTGTTTGGAAAGTGCTAGTTTAAAGCGGCGTTAATTGTACCTTGAAAGATTTATCGCAAAAATTTCAAATGGACTCTCATTGGCACTGTTTGTTTTATTTAAGTTTAAATGCTAGTAAATAAAGTCATGGTTTGAATTCACGGATGTTAACGCGTGTTTTTTTGCTATTACTCATCTTGTCTAGCTGTCTTTGTTTTGTTGCTATGCCTTGGAATTTTGGCAGTAGCTAGCATCTCCATTTCTGTGTCAGGATTTCCGGGACGCAGTTGCCAAAGCGACTCGTGCGAGCGGGAAGCCACTGGTGGAGGAAAAAGTGTTGAATCAGATCTTATACTATCTGCCCCAACTCTACGAACTCAATAAAGACCTGCTGAAAGAGCTGGAGGAGAGAGTAGCCCACTGGTAACACACAGACGCCATATGAAAGTTAAATGTATCGCGAATGAGTTTCATGTCATTTTTGTTTTGGAGTAGCATGTATGTTTTGTGGCTAAGAGCAGAGAGAGAGTACAAATAAGGATGCAAAAGAATGAGGGCCTTTAGAAGTTGGATGGAGTTTGTTGAAAATATTTAAGAACTCTTAACTTATAAGAAAAAGTCCTACTTTTCTCATTGCTCAATTTTGTTTCTGGGCATCTCTATGATTCCCGCAGGTCTGATCATCAGAGATTGGCTGACATCTTCGTTCAGAAAGGTCCGTATCTAAAGATGTACTCTACCTACATACGAGAGTTTGACCGTAATGTGGCTCTGCTGGATGAGCAGTGTCGCAAAAATCCTCCTTTTGCCAACGTTGTGCGCCAGTTTGAGGTAGGAGTTTGTGTGCGTGTCCATCTTGTGTGCATTATTACCATCAATAATAATGATTATAGAAGAAAACAGAAAAGAAGCTTTCTCCCATCACATTGCATTTAGTAGATCCAAAAAATATTGCTAATATATCTGATATTTTTTGAATTTTCTGCTATTACAATTTACTTTTGAAATGAACTGAAATTACAACATACATGATGTATAACATACTACGTAACATACAGTGTATAACATGATATTACAATAATTAATCGGTGCCGTTCGTGCATCATGAACAGTGAGTGATCTTCCTGCTACAGTATTTTTCTCTGTGCGTCCGTCTTCAACGTCTCTGGCCTGTGTTAACGGGCGTTTACAGACTTCATATTTTCACATAAATTACATTTTGGAAAATGATTGCAGGTGGAGGAGGGTCGTGTTACTCTCTACACTGCAATCAACCTGAGGGATTCCTACACTTTCAGTCTTTGAGGAGACATGAAAAACAGCGCATACCGCAAAAACGGTATAACGGAAAATATTAGCGCTTTTGAAATTTGAAATTTTCAAATTGCGGTATACCTTGAAACCGGTAATCGGCCCATGCCTAGATGTAACTACAGAAGAGTCAAGTTTTAAATAGGAAAAATATATCGAAACTCTTTGGTCATTTTTGAGCGAGATGCTAACGGTCTAATCAGATTCAATGATCTATGCTAAGCTACAGCTAAACCCGGAGATCGGCTGAACGGATTCGAAAACGGTAAAACTCAACTGTTTATCTCTAGGGGAGTTGGAAAATGAGCCTATTTTCAAAAATAGTGGAGTGTTCCTTTAAAGTGAATTTAATTTTTAAATGTTTTCTTGCATTGGACAAACTTGAATCATGTAATTTAGGGAATACAACAAATCTCTGTAACCAATTTTGAATCTTCCAATTAATTTTCATGTCTCTTTCAGATTATTTGAAGAACCTTCCTGAGGATTCATCCGACTACAAAGACACACAAAGTAAGAGCACACCATTTTCTCTGGAAATGATGCACACAGCAGAGAGTAGAGCAGAGATTCATATTATGCAGCTAAGGTGGCACTTTTAGTAAATGTCCAAGGCCCAGTAAATAAATAAAATAAAATGACCTGGTAAAATTCACAGTAAGCAACAATTACAGCAAGGGCCATTTGGACCAGCCTCATATGTTCTATCACCTCATTCAATGAATTATCATAAATGCTGGTCAGTTTTTAAAGACCCAAAGCAATGTAGTTCATGTGAATGTAGAAGTATAAACCTTGTTTCCATAGAAAGCCATTCCTAATTTTCATAGCTGCTTACACAATGTAAATATTTACTTATTTTAAATTGGTATGAAATTAATATTTTTTTCTAAATACATGTTATTGATATTATTGACATTTTTCTTTTCTTTTTCAATAATCTGTTTCACTCGGATGTCTGACAATACTGAAGAAAATATCTGTCACTGCTTTCATTTTATTATGACTTTAATATTGAACAAAAAGATCAAGTTCACTATAACTCATCTGTAAATTCAAAAATTTGCGGCAATATAAAATACTTTATTCAGTTAAAAACATTCACTATTTTGCTTGTTTAATGAGTACAACAAATCTTTGAAATGTTTTATTGACCTTCTGTTTGTTTGGTTTAACCAGCTGCTCTCAGTGTGGTGAAAGAAGTGGCAAACCACGCGAACGACATCATGAAGCAAGGGGTAACACAACCAAGCCATCATTAAGACCTCATACATATGAATCACTTATTTATGAACGACTTGAACACACATCTCATTTTTTCAGGATAACTTTCAGAAGCTGATGCAGGTTCAGTACAGTCTGAACGGTCACCATGAAATTGTCCAGCCTGGCAGGGTAAGAAACCCAATTCCCCCTGAGTCATTGTCTCTGTGTTGCTAATTTAACATGCTCATGTTGCATACGCAGGTTTTCTTAAAGGAGGGCACTCTGATGAAACTCTCCAGGAAAGTTATGCAGCCCAGAATGTTCTTCCTGGTGAGAAATGTTTATTATAAAATGGACAGTGTTATTTTAGTATTTTATGTAATATATATATATATATATATATATATATATATATATATATATATATATATGTGTGTATGAAAATTATGTTTTTTTTTT